TTAATAACTAATTACATTATAGTTAATTAACACAAACATACGTAAAAAACACTAAAACCTATTTTTTTAATACAATTTTAAAAACAAAAATAATAAATGGCCAACGTTCAAAATTGTAACACATCTATTATTTCTTATTTTAAAACCAACGCTGATACAAAAATTTTATAGTACTCAAAAATTGTTTAAATATATTGTAAAATAAGAATTACGCCACTCGAATTACATACAGGTGTCCCAGCGAGTTGAAAAAGTCCATTAGTGACCTTTAAATGATAAAATTAAAAACAAAATGTATAAGACATTGATAGATACTAATCTAGTGCATGACCTAACCGTAACAGCATGTCCCAAAAATAAGTTACGATACAAACTTGTGTTTTTTTTTAAATGAAACACCGTATGTTTCTTTGCATTTTTGGATGTATCCTTTTAAAACAATGTTTTTACGCTAAACTTTTATTATTCGATTTTGCTTAGTTTCAGAAATAAGACGTTTTTTTGACGAAAACATGCACTTTTTAAAAATTTATTACACAAAAACTAAGACAGCTAGTTTTTCTTACTGCTGCAAAGAAGAAAGTACAGAATAGAAAGCTGTAGCAATTTCTTATTTGGCATTTGTTAACATTAATAAATTAAGAAGTTTGTTAAAAGTTAAATGACTTAAAAAAATTAGATAGAATACCGTATTTTTTATTTTTGCATGTAATAGATTGATAAATTACCTGTCTAAAAAAACAAACTTTTAATGTCTAGAATTGATAAACAAAAACATATTATTTTTTAACATTCAATATTAATTGTAGCAACAATGCCTATCAATATCTGAGCACTGATACTATGGCAACCATAGTAATTCCACCACGGATCACTTATCCGTTGATTTATCCAGAGATTGTAAAAGTCGTTATAAATACTGAAATTCGAATTATTTTATTGTAAAAATAGAGAAGAATGGATTCAGTTTAACACAAATGTGATTATCAAGTGATATTTCTTCCATCTCTTGTGCAACTGTGCACTTTTTGACTACTGAAACAATAGTAATTATTTTTTTTATTTTTTAAATATCTTTTTAGTTATTGATTATAAACACCTAAAAGTAAATAATTTTAAAAAGACAATTTAATAATTCTTTAAATGCAAAAACAATAAAAAGGGTGTTCTATTTAATTTTTTTCAGTTCTTGAACTTTTAACAAACGCCTTCATTTTTATGCAACACACTTAAAAAATGTTACAACCTTATAGCTTGTACCTTCTTTTTTGCGGTAGTAAAAAATATTTCTAGATGTCTTAGTTTTTGTGTAATAATTTTTTTAAAAGTGCATGTTTTCGTCAAAAAAACCGTCTTATTTTTAAAACCAAGCACAATCGACAAATAAAAGTTTAGCTTAAAAATATTGTAATAAAAATCTACATCCAAAAAGGCTAATAAACATATGGTATTTCATTTAAAAAATACAAGTTTGTATTGTAACTTATTTTTGAGACACGCTGTATAGTTTTAAGTGATGGATTAGATTAGATCTATCAATGTCCTATATATTTTTTTTGTTTTACCATTTAAAGATCAATAATGGACTTTTTCAACTCGCTGGGACATCCTGTATAACAAGAATATGGCTTAAAATGTGTCAAGTTTTTAATAAGTAAGTAAAATAATAATAAAATAAAAGAAACAGAACCAAAACATGTGGTTTTGATTTTAAATTTCTGTACCAAATTTTATAAAAATCGATTAATTCATTAAAAAGTTATTAAATAAAAGCGAAAATAATTTTTAAATTATTTCGCCCTCTAACTTTTAAACGGTGCAACTTCGTACAGAGTTAGGTTAAGTTAAATTACTTTATTTTGGCTTCGAAAATTACTCTTTGTTCCCATTTTTTTACATCCAGTATTTACTGCGGTCTAGAGTATTTTTGGAATACACGATACTTGATTTTATTTCTAAGTAATTCATTCTGAAACATTATATTTGTGAAAGTGTTGTTTGGAGAGGTTAGTTTGTCCACCCTGTATACAGCTCCACGGTGGGGATCTCAGTTATTACTTATTATAAGAGATATGAGGTCGGTTGAATTAGTGCAAAGTTGCGTATAACAATTGTCTGAAAGAAAATTTGATGTGTCATTTTTAATTTTTGAATTACCTATTACAAAACACTGTAATATGTAATTTTCGTTTTTATTTTTTAAGCGTAAACTAAAAAACTAGACACATTTAACTAGAACACTTTTTTACAAGAACTCTAAATCTGTTATCGTATTTTCCAAGACATTATTAATGCCAGAATTACAGCACTCAACTTTGTTTTTTTTTTAACGGACACTCTGTATATGTTCGCTTATTAATTATGCTGAAAGCTTGTGGGTTAGCCTCAAGTATGGCTAAAGTGATCGAATGTAAGCGTTAAGTCACTTTCAAGCGTTCTGTCAGTGACAATATTACCAGTCCTGAAAAGACCACACAATATAGGAATGTCGCTGAAATTTATTAGACCGCAAGTCTGTCACTTGAACGTCCTGAAAATTAATTTTTGGGAATATGCATATGAATGAAAATTTTTCGTGTTTTCCCTTGGAGACAGTGGTGATTTATACAAGACGATACATTTTCACACACCATGGAACAAAAGTAACCACATGGTTGTAAATTAAGCCGGAGAATATATTTTCAGTGACGACGGCCATTACGCGTAAGGAGACTGTGGTGAGCGTTCAGCCATTGGCTCAGCAAATGGCGAAAGCTGGGATAATTGTAGGGATGTTATCTTAGTGGAAAGGCTTAAATGTGTGTCTTTTCGGTTGTAATTAACAAATTAAGAGATTTTTGACCCGAAGAAAGCACCGGAAAGGAAGATTTTTTTCGTGATAAGTCGACGGTGGCAAAGGAAAGGTCTGATGTTTGTGATGCTCTACTGGTTGTATAAGATTTTGAATAACATCGTTGAAATATTTTCATGAAAAACGGAAATTATTCGGAAATGTAAGCTTGGCCAAAAACATTATTTTTTTAATTTAATTACAGTGAAATGTAAAGAATTGTCCAAATGGCTGGTTAGGATTTAAATTGAAATGAAATGCTTTACTAAACTTTGTTAAACTTTATTAAAAAGATATTGCTACGTAAAATTAGCTTAATTCTGGGTTAAAATATAAATTTGATTTCTATCAATCGTCCTATACAGTTATTAAAATTATATTCACTTTATATAAGTTTTGTTCAGTTTTTATCTCGTGGAATAGTTTGTAGCTCAAAATATTTTTCTGATGAGAATGCCATTCAACACTGACTTTTCCATGACGAAAAAGTTAAGAAAAAAATTGAAATAATTAAAATTTAACAAAAATTGTATTAATAATTTGAAATACGGTGTCACCTGTTGATATCACGAAAAAACCCATTATCATTTATTAAAACAAAACATTATAAAAATTTTCATAAGAGTGAAGTGTTCTTTAATAGCTAAATAAATAAATTAATAATTACCTACTGTATCTGAAATACTCTTTGTTAGGAGCTTTACTATTTTTTTCATTGAAAATAATAATTGATTTTTGTTTAGTGTTTTTGGTAAAAAAATTAAAAAAATAGAAGAATATACTTATTATCAAAAAGCAGTCGACAAAATTGTTGGTTGCCATTAAAAAAAATAACGTCACTGCCTAAAATCCAATGACGTCCATAAAAGCAAGCATAAAAGTAGGATGTAAAATGTTACTTCTGAACCAGGATATTTGGCGTCTTAAAAAACAAAGCAAAATCCTAAAAATTTATATAAAATCCTTCAAAAATCATTAATTCATAATCATATGAAACAACCAAGAAAAGACAAAATTCTTAATCAAATTCCTCGGTTTTTTACATCTCAAAATGGATTTTTATTTCTGGAACCGAAAGTAAGGGCACTTTAAAAAAAATAATAAAAATCATGGAAATTAGATCCAATAAGTTATTAAAATTTTTTTAAAAAAAGTCAAAGTTCTTCATTTTTAGATACCCCAAAATGGCTTTTCATTGATGAACTAGGATAATAGTTGGTAAAATCATTATGATATTTTGGATCGTTTTTTAATAATTTTTGAAAGTGCCAATTGGTCCAGAAATTTTGGAAAATTTTTAATGATTTTTTTGCGTACCCAATTTCTGGTGGTCTATAGATATTTGGGGCGCATAAAAATTAATATTTTTTTTTCGAAAAACATCTAATTTTTTAGAATTTCGCCTTGTTTTTTAAGGCGCCAAATATCCTGGTACAATCCCTCCTTGATTTGATGATGTTTTTCCTTTTTTTGCATGCGCCAAATGACTGAAATAAAAAGTCATTTTGAAATGTTTATATACAAGGTATTTTGTTAGTTTTTTATGGTGCTTTTGAGGTAATTTTTGGTGATTCTCATCGGTTTTTTGTGCCCAATTTTGGGTGGTCTACAAATATTTGGGTACTTTGGAGGTGCATAAAAATTAGTGAATTTTGAAGGATATTAGGTCTTTTTCGAGTTAAGACTCCAAATATCCTGGTCCAGAAAGTAACATTTTACATCCTACTATGTTACAGTACAGTCGAATTGATTGTAGGATTTATAAAAATAAAATTGACCTATTTGAGAATTTTTTTGAAAAATGACCCATAACAAAAATATTAATTTTGTGCGTTGCTTTTGGTTCACTCTGTATATTAATTTACTTAATTCCGTTGACAATCCGTTCATTATTTCTATTTTGAGTTTATACTTAAAATTTAAATTTAAAATTTCTGAAGGAAAATTCTAAATTCTAAATAGAAAATTTCAAATTTGGCTCTTAATTTGGCTCTGTTAATAATAAAATAATTAAATTAATAATTTACAAAAAAATAAGCATGTTTTAAGTAAATTGTAGTGTTTTACACTATTCGTTTTAAGTAAAAAAAAAGTAATGCAATAGTTTTTTGTACTTACCTTTTTAAAATATGGGAAAACAATCATTAATGATCTCTACAAAAATAAACACTTATCCAAAACACTTTATTGACTATACATCGAATAAATTAAGCTTTTAATCCTAAAAACACATAACCTTATCTTATATCTACTTACGTATGTACATACATTAAAATAAATAAAATTAAGCAATCCTACAAACAACTTAGAAAACAGCTTTTACAACAGGCGCAAAAAACCAATACAACAAACAAACCATCATTATAATAAACACATAGTGAATAGCAGCTAACAGAACCATCTTCTTTTTAGCTTTGGGCACCGTCTCGAGAGGATCATTTAGTAAGTAAATCCTACCACCTACAATAACTTTATCCCAGTATTTCTCCCAATTGAAACTCTTCATATCGAAATTGAAAACAACTTTATCCTTATCATCAAGTTTATCAAAAAGACGTTCCGTGTTATTAGTTTCAAAAGTCCAAGAGCGTGTTGTAAAGAACGAGAGCAAACTGATGAGTTTACTGATTTTGCGATATTTTTCAACAGCTCTGCAACAGACAAGAAATTTAAATTGTTTGTTACACACTAAATAAAGACTTACAATGGTCTTTTGCCAGCAACTAACAATACTGAATCCACTAAATAGGCAAAAAGAGTGTGGTAGAAAAATTCCCGGATTTTGTGAACAGGTTTATAACGTGTTGTTTGAATGTATCGGTACCAAACAGCATCACTTAGTGGATACACAAATGTGAATTTTTTAAATTCGTTAATAAGATTGTCCCAAGTAATTAAATTGTTTTTGTGACCCGGAAAATTATAAATAGGGATTAATTTATCTTTTGGTTCATTTTTCGTCCTAAAAATGCCAAAATTATTATTTTTTATTGTATTTCATTGTCCATACTGTTCCACTTCCCAAGCTGCTGCTAGTATGTTATTGACGACATAATCAGCAGGAACGACTCTAGCAGGAAGGTTTTCGTCCAAATGAAGGGTTCTCAAAACACCCAAACATACCCCAACTACCACCCCAACCACGCCATGAAAATTGTTGATCCAGCCAGGAAGGGGGTCCTCAAACGTCGAAATAACTAAATTTTAACAATTAAAAATTAGATAAAAGCAGAATTATTATTTTACCGACGGCGGGACGTACAATTGCGACTGGAAGAACTTGTTTATAGGATCGAATCACTTCCTCTGCTACTGCTTTTGTGTAAACGTAAGTGTTAGGCCACTCACCCAAGAGGCTAAAAATCAAATATTTATTTTGATAATACATACAAGGTGTTCCAGCGAGTTGAAAAAGTCCATTAGTGACCTTTAAATAGTAAATTAAAAAAATATACAGGGGGCGCTAGAACTCGCGCCCCAGGGAAAAAGGCCATCTAAGGTAAGAGACCACGAACATGAAAAAAATTTTTTTTCAATTTTATCTATAAAAATTTCGAAGTTATGAGAGTTTAAATTTTGCACTTTGACTCTAATTATTTCTGTTGTTGTTGTTAATTTTTCAAGTTTTACAGGCTATTAGAAGAGGAGACAAAGAAGCTGTATCCTAAATGTTGTTTGTGGCTTTTATTAGCAACATTTTTGTACCTTTACTAAATAATTGTAAAAAAAAAAACATATACAAGATCATCAGTATCATTAAATAGACATAAAAAAATATCAAATGTCAAATTTTTTTGAAAGATAGAAATTTTTAAACNTACTAAATAATTGTAAAAAAAAAAACATATACAAGATCATCAGTATCATTAAATAGACCTAAAAAAATGTCAAATGTCAAAATTTTTTGACCGATATAATTTTTTAAATATTTTTTCCATATTCTTGGTATCTTATTTTACTTGCAATTTTTCTCTGAGGCGCGAGTTCTGGCGCACCCTGTATATAGGACATTGATAGATACTAATCTACTCTACCGCCTAAAATTATTTTTAACTATACAGCGTGTCTCAAGATAAGTTACAATAAACTTGTGTTTTTTTTTAAACACCATATGTTTCTTAGCGTTTTTGGTTGTAGATTTTTATGACAATGTTTTTAACTAAACTTTTATTGGTCGATTTTGCTTAGTTTTAAAAATAAGACGGTTTTCTTGACGTAAACATGCACTTTTTAAAAATTTATTTCACAAAAACTAAGACATCTAGTTTTCTCTTACTACCGCAAAGAAGAAGGTACAAACTGTAAGATTGTAACATTTGTCTACTGTGTTGCATTTGCAAAGACAAACAAATGAAGGCATTTGTTAAAAGTTCAATAACTTACAAAATTTAAATGGAACATCCTATTTATTGTTTAAAATATTATTAAATTGTCTTTCTCAAATTATTTACTTTTAGGTGTTTGTTATAATCAATAACTAAAAAGATACAGGGTGTTTGAGGATATCGCGCAAATATTTTAACCACTAATAGGACTCGTCAAAAGAAACAACTTTCGTTATTCCAACTTTTGTCGAAAGCACGTCATTTCTGAGTTAAAATTAAAAATAAATTGAGACTGAAAACACGTCCCCGCCTATGTCTTAATACGATGTTTACAATCATTCATAAGAAAAAACTTTGGAACGTAAACATCGTAAAGCCAAAAAAAAATATTGCTACATTAGGGTAGATCAGTGTCAATGTTAGTGGGTCAATACTTGCTATTATAAAAAAATGCTCGAAGTGTGCTCATTCGTTGCCAATACACACTTCTTGTACTCTTCGGACTAGGGAAGCTTGCGAGTTATGTTAGAGTTCAAAGGGAACATAAATATAAATACAAATAATTAGTTATCACTGTTATCAGTAAAAGTACATAAAATTTGTATATAAATTGAAGTAATTATTAGAAGATGTAACATTGTAATACCYAATCTCTGTCTGTTCGAATAAAGATTTTGTTTTTAAAAATTCATAATAATTTCCAAGTTATATAAGTGGCGCAGTCAGTAGGATAGTGCGATCGTGGTTCCTGCATCGAGCAAAAATCAGCGATTTGAAATTTTAATTTCTTAAGCGCTATCCAAAAGAACCGAAGYCTCTCCCGAAGGTTTTGCATCGTGCCAAGATCCAGGAAAGTCTTCCCGTCCAGGCAGAAGATTGAAAAATACCGAAGGACCAGAGCATTCCCAGAAATTTTGCATCGAGTCAAAATCCCAGGAAGCCCTTTTGGTCGAAACAAGTACCGGATTCACCAGGTTAGTGAATTTGAGTACCAATCCTTTTGAATATTCCCTGTTTAGGAATCACAATAGTTAAAGTTTTTTTTAAACAAACAACAAATTGATAATAATAAGAGTATATTAGTGAAATTACTATAAAAACAATAAATAATAAAATAAATTAAAAGAAGTTAATTAATTAGTTTATGAATAATTTAAGTGATTTATTGGAAGCAATAAATTCTATTAGCAATAATATGGTTCCACCAGATACAAATCAACCAAATCTTCAACTTTTAAAACTATATATTGATACAATTCCTAATTATGATGGAAATCCAGATACTCTCGAAATTTTTATTAATGCATGTGATTATTTATTTCAAATTTATGGTAATATACAAGAATTAAAAACTTATTTAATTCGTGTAGTAATAAGTAAACTTGTCAACCYCGCTTTAATTTTAATWGGTACTAAAACCGAATTACAAWCATGGCCCCTTATAAAAAACGCGTTACGATTAAGTTTTGGAGACCAACGAAATTTGGATTGCCTCGAACAAGATCTCATAACAGTTTTTCCACAAAAAAATGAATCACCATTAGATTTTGGAAAACGAATTCAAATTTTACGTAGTCATTTATCCACGAAATTAAACAGTCTTAMTCCTACCGAAATGCCAGATATAACAAAAGCAGTGTATATAAAACAATATGATCAATTGGCATTAAAATCATTCATTAGAGGTTTACCAGGAGATTTACAAAGTATTGTAAGATTAAGAAATCCCACATCATTGGAAAACGCAATGCAACTTGTAACAGAGGAACAAAATTTCCGTTACACACAAAATTTCACTCATTTGTTACATTCCAATAAACCCAACAATCATGTTAAAACATATAATAAGTCTCAAACTAATCAAATTACACAACCATCATCCTCATTTAGCTATAATAATCCTAATCTTAGCAATAACCATATTTATCGTCAAAATAATAATTTCGCTACATCTTTTGGTACAGAACAATTCCCTAGTCAACCAATAAATTTAAAACCCTCAAAACCCATTCAAAAGAAWTTTTTTAGTAATGCACAAGTTTTTGGTCAACAAAAAAATGTTTTCAAACCAACAGYTCAAGTTCCTAAAAATCCCGTGGAATACATGTCCACRACATCAAAAAATCCATCAGTTAGACAAAATTTTGCACAACCAATGTCTGTAACATCACGAAATCAATCATTTAGACAATTTAATCATTTTAGACCATCTGGACCCAAAAATTTTATTTCCGAAGAAATTAATTTTGTTCAAAACAATGACAAATTACAAACAAATTATTTATCAAATCAAACAAATAATTATGAAGAAGAAGAGTATTTACACAATAATGATATCTTAATTACTTCAYATAATCATTTTCCCATGACCAGCAAAAATATTTACTCTAATCATAATGAACCCATCAATGAATCATCTTATCAAAATTTAGCAAATGATGAACTTCCAAATAATGATTCCGAAGAAAATTTTTTACATACTAGGCCAAAGTCACAAACAAACGTAATTTGTGAAATTCATAACATGAGTTCATATAATTCATTACCTTACATTAAAATTCAACATCCACCTCTTAAATTACTTATTGATACAGGATGTTATACTTCATTATTAAGACCATCTATAGCCGAAAAATATTTCCCATCTACAATTTATCATCAAAATTCTACAATTAAAACAGCTACAGGTGAAAGAATCATTAAATATAAAGCAGAAATACCTGCATTTCCTGAATTTTGTACAAACAAAACTTTTGAATTTMTATTATATGARTTCCATGATTTTTTTGATGGAATTATAGGCATAAGAGATTTAATGTGTATGAAATTTTCTATAGATTTAATAAATAAAAAGTTAAAAAATAAATATTTAGAAATACCATTTTATTATAGACAACCAAATGAAAATACAATGACTATTAGTGTCGATGCTCACGAAGTTTTAAAACTAAAGTTACCTGTTAATTGTTATAACGGGGAAATTATAATACCTGAACAAAAAATTTTTAATTTATTTATTCCCGAAACATTAACTATAGCAAACAACGGATTTGCATATACAGAAATCTATAATAACACAGATTCACGAATAACAATATCAATAAATAAACRTATAAAAGCAGTAAATATAACAGATTCATTGCAGCAACATTTCAATATTTTTRACGTAGAAAACTTTTTACCAAATAAAAACGAATCTTCACCAAAAACAATAATAAACGTTGAAAATTTAATTCGAACAAATCATTTAAACAGTGAAGAAAGAAAAGCAATTTTGACCCTATGTCATGAATATTCAGATATTTTTCATCATGAAGATAAAAAATTGACATTCACTAATCAAATTAAACACGAAATTAAAACTATTGATGAAATTCCCGTTCATACTAGATCATATAGATATCCATTTGTACATAAACCTGAAGTTGAAAAACAAATAAAACAAATGTTAGAAAATGGAATAATTCGACCATCACAAAGTCCATGGAGCTCACCCATTTGGGTAGTACCAAAAAAATTAGATGCAAGTGGCAAACAAAAATGGAGAATAGTTGTAGATTACAGAAAAGTAAATGAAAAAACAATTGATGACAGATATCCTCTTCCGAATATTACAGATATATTAGATAAACTAGGTAAATGCCAATATTTTAGTACCTTAGATTTAGCTTCGGGATTCCACCAAATTGAAATGGACCCCAAATCTATTGAGAAAACTGCATTTAATGTAGAAAATGGACACTATGAGTATGTACGAATGCCCTTTGGATTGAAAAATGCGCCAGCCACATTCCAGCGGGTAATGGACAACGTTTTAAAAGATTTACAAGGAAAAATATGCTTTGTTTATATTGATGACATTATTATATTCTCAACATCATTACAAGAACACATTGTGAATCTAAAACTTATTTTTAACAGACTRAGACAATGTAACCTTAAAGTTCAACTTGATAAATCAGAATTTTTACGTAAAGAAGTAGAGTTTCTAGGGCACGTAATTACACCTGAAGGAATCAAACCCAATCCGA